TCTTGCAGTGACCTTAAATTATAGATTTTTAATTTTATGATTCAACAGAAAGTTGAATTAAAGTGAAATCTGTTTTTATTGCGTGGAGATCACTTGTAAAGTGTTCATCAAATGGATAATATTCTTCAACCTTTGGCCTCTCCCTGCGGCATGCCGAGGTCATTTCTTTGCCCTGTCCGTGATCAACAGGGGCCTGGTAGGTCAGGATAAGTTTCATTTAAGGGTCTTATTATTAATCAGACAAGCTGTCATTGTTCCTGATATGATGGGGAAAGGGAATGTCCTAGACCCATCTCTTTTCTTACCTTGTCACCATCAAAATTTCCATTTCCTGGGGCATATCAGTGGTGCAGTCAGTTGAGCTTCCAACTCTTGGTTTTGGCTCAGGTCATGATCTCAAGGTTGTGAGATCGAGCCCTTTGTCAGGCTCTGAGCTCAGTGGGGCATCTGCTTGAGTTTCTCTCTCCCTCTCCCTTTGCCCCTCTTGCTTGTGCTCTCTAAAATAAATAAATCTTTTTAAAAATTTCCATTTCTCTCCTCTCCCCTTCAACTGAATGAGAGGTTAAGGGTCATGTCTTTTTCAAAAGACTCTTGAAAAATGTTGCCCAACACCCTCAGCTTTCCTCATTTGCACTGGGAACCATCGGTTTGTGGTAAGGAAGATAGAAACACTGTGTGATAGGCTTGAGTTACGTGAATACCACAAGTAAAATCCCAGGACAGCCTAGGCTTGCATTTAACTTTCTCCCCATAGCCTCTGTCTGAGAGCTTTAAAGGCTTTCTCAGATATCCAGACGACCCGGGGAGCTAGATTACTCCTGTGTTATTCACTCTCACTTTACAGAACAGCTGAGGCATGCAGCATACTTTGCTTACTTGTTTGGAACTCAGGCATTGAGGAATTCATCTATGAATTTGCCCCTCCAAAGAGAAATGAGAAAGACTCCACTCACTGTCACAGATAGGAGCCATGTCATGAATGGTAATTCTTTATGATCAGTTAAAATATAACAAGATTTCTATTCAGCTTTCCCCATGATAGAGGATTAAACAAACAAACAAACAAACAAACCAACCAACACTAATAGACATGGTTGACAAGAGCTCTCAGAGAGGAAGGCCAGTGGCAAAATGGCATTCTTTCATTTGGAATACCTGCTGCTGGCCAACTACAGAGGGTAAAATCAAGAGAATGGCGATGAAATGATGGGAGTGTTAGTGCCAGCATGCTACCTTGTTCTCGCGAACTTCCCAGAATGAGTGGAAGATGATGAGTGACTTCCATTTTGTTTAAATGATAGATGCTTTATTTGATACACAGCACAAGTAATTATTACCCTGAAACTTGCCCCTCATCATGGTCTACTTCATAACTTTCTTGTGTAGAGTCCATCTGTGTGTTTTTGTGTTGCTGTGGTCCTATTTGGTTGAGATTGTAAACTCTCAGGGCTCATGAACGATATTGCTCAGAATCTAGCAGGGGAATGGCTGTGTTTAGGAATTTAATTAAGACTTACGGGGTGCCTTTGGCTCAGGTCATGATCCCAGGGTCCTAGCATCAAATCCTGCGTTGGGCTCCCTGCTCAGCAGGGAGCCTGCTTCTCTCTCTGCCCCTCCCTCCTCCCTCCCTCCTCTTCTGCTCTCTCTTGTTATCTCTCTCTCTCAAATAAATAAATAGAAATCTTAAAAAAAAAAAGACTTATGCTTAATGATGGCAAAGAAGAGCTTTTGGTTAGAAATGATGCTAAATACTGGAATACTCAGGTGAGGGAATCCTATTTTCTTTGATTAGTAACAATAGCATGATCTGTCAGTCAGGACTTTGTGGTTCAAATTTTGTTATGACCAGAGGCAGGGGGACATACCAGATGACTTTGTTCCTTTTAGCCTGGAGGTTGAGTGAAAAATGTTTCAAAGGCAACTTAGTACTTTGGATCTTTTTCTCCCTCCTTAAAAAATTTTTTTTTGCACTTGCAATTTTCAGTGTCTATAATGTGCTAATGGGCTTTCCTCCCATTTAAAAAACAAGTGTGGATGTGGGAATGTTCTCCCCGAGAAAAGATGGTCTCTAGGGTTTTGTTTCTGGCTTGAGGTTCTATGAGGTAGGTGTTATGAAACCTCCCCCACAGCAGGCTGGGGTGCCAGTGAACCTCGGTGGGGGTCAGCAGCTCTCCTGCTAATTTGGGCAGGAGAGGGAAACGCTCAGCCACTTTGAGAGGAAAGAAGGTAAATTTTGCGATCCATTTGCAAATCGAGGTAGAATGAGTTTTCAGACCTGGACACGTGTTCAGAACCTATCTGTTCTCTTCTACCATCAAACTTGGTAGGAAAAGAGTAATCCAAGCTCATGTTTGTCAGCTGGATAATTTGGGAGTGTAAAGGGGGCAATCGAAAGAGCATATCAAGGAGGAAGGAAGAGGAGGGGCCAGAAGGGGGTTGGGGCTGTCCTGTGCTTTGGATCACCAATGACAGCATGGTGGCCCTACGTTAGGATTTTGAGAAGGAATCAGGAAGAAGAGAGAGAGAAGTGGACATCTGATACCCAGTAGCTGGTCCTTTACAGTTTAAGCAGGGGGCATACTAGGCTCTCCAGGAACGATGAGTAGAGAGGGAACAACCCTCCATTAGAGAGTGCAGGAAGACTGAATGGGAGTGATGCTCTTTTGGTCCTAAAAGTAAGGAGAGGATTAGACCAGAGCTTTTCTAAGGCGTCTTACATCTCCCATATCCCAAGCTTCCGTGATTTCCTTTTGTAGTGGGCTGAGTTTTATATAATTATCAAAGGGAAGATAGAGCTATCTTTTGAAAAATTTTTTTATCGTGGCCTGAGATATTACATAGCTTAAGTTCACTTATTAAAACTCATTAACTCATCAGCATGCACACTTTCTCAAGCCATGATGACTTCATGGCTTAAGTGAAAATTTCATACTCTTTTGGAAAATTGAATTAGCACAGCCAAATCAGCAGAAAAATTATCTTTGACCAGTAGATGTTATTTCTGTATCATTCTTCTTTGCCTAAGAAAATAATGACTCTGAGACTTAAGCTTGACGACTAAGAGTAAAAGCCAACGTCTACCATTTGTTCTTGCAGTCCCAGAAACTGTTTCAAGATGTTTTATAAGCACTAATTCATTTAATCCCCAGAAGAGCTCTGTGGGATCAGTAGGTACTAAACCCCCATTTAGCCAATGAGGAAATTGAAGAGTAGAGAGATTAAGTAATGTGTCAGGGCTAGGATTAGACTTTGGGTCCAGCAGCTAACTCTGAGATTTCTGTGAACCAACATGCTTCCCATCCTCCTCCTTTTCTAGATGGTCCGTGGAATTGACCAGCGTGGGCTGCATGCTTCACGCTTGGGAGGAATTAAGGGTGTGACACTCTGGAAGTAAGAGAACTGCTTGGTATGTTAAAGCGTGAACAAGGAGACTTAGTTTCCATTAAGTGTGAAATGGGTCCCTAAGATATGTTATACCATAAGTAGATCACTTATCTTCTGAATACTGCTATTAGGAATTAAAGGCTAAGCAAGATCCCTTGCTTTATAATTCTCTATATGTAGACAATAACAACACCAAAACCTAACAGCGAGTACTGACTCTGTCAGGCGCTGTTGGAAGTCTTTCACATCTATTAATTCATTTAAACCTAAGAGCAACCCCATTGGTACTAATATTTTCCAGATAGGGAAAACTGAGGCTCCGAGTTGTGGAGAAACACATCTAGAAGTGGCAGAGCTATGTAGTGAGCCCAGGCTCTAGCCATTAATCTAAACTGTCTCCAGCACTGGGCTTTGGCAGATCCAAAATATTTGCTTCTGTGATGAGAACAGGACTCACCGTGCTTAGGGATGGGATGAGGCCAACTAGTACTGGACACTGGGCTGTGTCTTCTGTGAATGCTTGTGTATTTGAACCAGGTGATGCTGGTCAGTTGTGTCTCTCTTCCTGTGGGATCTTTTTCTAGGGATGAGGCATAGAATGCCTCCTCACAAAGACTCCCAGTGGCCGAATTCATTCTGCTCCATGGCATTCCATTCTTGACACTTTCTCCTGAAATAAGAAAACTTGTTTTGATTTTTGTTTTTGTTTTTTGTACTTTTATGCAGAATTTGTAAGTTACTCAATTTCAAGATTGTATTTGCTTATATCATGTTCAATGAATGTTCAATGGGTTTAAATATGCTATCAGAACTTTCCAATGGTGCTTATGGAATGAAACAAGGCTGAAAGAAATTAAGAGGCTTCCCCAAATTCACACGAAGCTTAAGTTTCTTGAGGACAAGGACTATCTTATTTGATCCAGGACTCAGCAGTGATAAACCAGTGGTCCTATTTCCATTCCTGTTTGTGAGAGCTTGGGAGGGGGGTGGTCCAGAGGTTGGGTAGGGAGTGGTCAGATGAACAGGAACCACTACAAACACAAACTGGAAAGAGAAACTGAGATGCCATTGCCAATGGAAGAGAGGACACAGATGCCAGGCAGGTAGAAATGGCAGTGCCCTGCTCTTCTTTGAATCCTTAACACCAGTGCTAGAGTAGGCTTTCAATAGTATCTGAAAATGAATGAATGGATCTGTACTGTTCTTTCAGTCACATTCAGAGCATGGAAATATCATGGGGACCGTTAAAGATGGTGAGGACCTCACGGGGGAGGTTGGACTTAGGTTGGCTTGAAGTAGAGAGTAGACGTGAAGAAGGAGGAGGGCTCCTATGTAGAGGGAACTTTGGACAAAGGCAGATGCACCTGGAATACTTAACCTCATCAACTGCTGCAATTTCCTTGACTTCTGTAATATCTTGTCTGCCCTCCAAATTCCTGAACTGAGGGAGGGTTTTCCTCACTAAGCCAGTGCCAGGAAAACCAAGGCATGATTCTTGTTAGCTACCCTTCTGCCCATCTCTGCCACTGTTTGTGGACCTTGAGTCTAACTTGTTAACTGCTTTGAATGTTGAGACATTGGCATTTGGGCTCACCCAACTGGAGTTTCCTTTCCAGGTTAACATGTTTGTTGAAGGATTCCACGATGCCATCCTCCTCTATGTTCTGGCTTTACATGAAGTACTCAGAGCTGGTTACAGCAAGAAGGATGGAGGGAAAATTATCCAGCAGACTTGGAACAGGACATTTGAAGGTGAGGATTCGGTCTGTAAGGCGACAACACTCTGTAGGTGATCAAGCTGCTTCTTCCCTGGTTCTGCTTTTCTCTCTTACACCTGTGGGACATTGTCAGTTTCTTGTTTTTCTCAGCTGTAAAGTGAGGATAGTAGGTCAAGATCAACCCATCTCACAGGCTTGTTGTGAAAATTAAATGAGATAAAGCTTGTGAAAGTGCTTTGATAGAGTCCCACTGACGCAGGAAGTGCCTCATCTCCGTCTGATTGTTAGATAACAACTCTATGCTTCTTCAAATTAAATTTATCACAAACCTCATTCACAACAAATAATCAGTTTGTGAAGAGTTCTGTGATCAGTTTTAAAAGAAATAGTACTAGATATATACATTCATCTGTTCAATCCTGGATGGTTTGGGATGATAAGCGAGTCCAAACAAGTCCTGTGCTTTTATTTTATTTTTAAGATGGTGACTATCTGCTGTGGCCTTCTTAAGAACAGAGAAGTATAAGAACCACGGCAAAAAATGGCCCATAATCTCATTACTCAAGCAACCTCTGTTGACACTGAAAAATTGTCCAAGAATGAGACTACTCTTGGCTGGAAAATTTAAACAGTACAAAAATGTACAAAATGAAAAGTGAAAGTTTTCCTTCCCACCCTAGTCCCCTCTCCGTAATGTAAGCACTACTAATTTCCTATGAGTCGGTCTAAAAAGATTTTATGCCTTCTGCCACCCCTTATGCTTTTGTATATCTTATCAAAAAACGTATACAAAAGGAATCATATGATGAACGCCACTCTTCATCTCAGCTTTTTAAACTTCTATGTCAAGTAAAAAAAATTTGCCATATGAGCACTCATAGAGTCAGCACATTTTTAAATGGTAGTTCCATATTTTTTGACCATATGGCTGCTTAAAGACTCCTTTAGTCTGTCTCCTATTGATGGATACTGCAGTTGTTTACAGTTTTTGCTGTCATGCAAAATGCCATCACAGGCATCTTACACATCTTGATGAATATTTGTGAGTACATCCAACAGGGAGCATTTCTAGTCATGGGATATCTGGGGCGAAATGTATGTTAGTGCTTTTTTTTTTTTTTTTAGATTTTATTTATTTATTTGAGAGAGACAGAGAGCACAAGAGGAAAGAGGGTCAGAGAGAGAAGCAGACTCCCCGCTGAGCAGGGAGCCCGATATGGAACTCGATCCCGGGACTCCAGGATCATGACCTGAGCTGAAGGCAGTCGCTTAACCAACTGAGCCACCCAGGCGCCCTATGTTAGTGCTTTTTAGAGTTAATTAAATATTGCCAAATATCTTCCATAAAGGTCTACTAGTCTAAATTCTTGCTAACAGCATATAGAGTGCTGGTTTCCTCTCAATTCCCTGATACACTCAAAGAAAATGAACCTGAGAATGACCCAGTTGTGAGAGACTTGCAGCTATCAATTTCATATTCATTCAGTCGTTCATTCATCAAATCGTCTTGAGCACCTTCTATGTGCCAGGCACGGTTCAAAGTGATGAGGATTCAGCAGTGAACTAAAGACCCTCCCTGCAATCAACTGAGCTTTCAGGGTTGTGGGGGGCACTGGTGATAAACAAATAAGTACACCATTTCAGGGGCTATAAAATGAAGCAGGGTAGGGAGACAGAAAGTGGTAGGAGGGGGTGGTAGGAGATGGCTAATTTAAAGAAAGTGACCAGGGAAGGTCTCTGATAAAGTTGCAGGTGAGTAGAGACCTGAGGGAAGTGAAAGAAATTATGTAGATGTTAAGGAGGGAACATTTTAGACAGAGCAGCAGACACAGACACCTTGAGTGTGCCTGTTGAGACAGTGCTGAGTGCCGAGAACAAAGAGGCCCGTGTGGCTTGAGCACAGCACGCGAGGGACAGTGTTCAGGGCCACAGTCAGAGAGGTAGCGGGGGCCGGATCATGTGGACATGGAAGGTGTACTGAGGACTTTGGGTTCCACCCTGAGTGAGAGAGAAAGCTCCCCGAAGGTTTGGAGGGACGTGATCTTTCTGGAGTCTTTAAAAGGGGTCCTTATGGGGACTATGTAGAAAATAAAGTGTAGTACACTGATGGGTATCATTTGAAAACCCCTGATATAGAGTACAGATCGCTGGACCAGGGTTCAGGAGACCCTGCATCCGAGCCACTGACTCAGTATTTTGGGCTTCTCTTTCATTACCTATACGAACGGGTCAGACTAGCTGATGACTGATGGGGGCCCTTTCAGTCCTGCATCCTGCCAACTCTTCCCTTGAGCCCTTTCTACATTTATTTGTAATTCAATGAATGAGATTTTTCAGTGATGGGAAACAAGTACTTCCAAGTCTGGATTTGGGGCCCTTATATATGGGTTTTCCTTTGGGACCTCAATGCATTCCCCGGCCTCATGCTGTCCTTGCTTATTAGAGGGGTCAGGTTCCAGCTGTCTGGGCAGTGGCTATGGTGACAATGGATTTAATTTCTCCTTGGTGGCTTTATTGAATGTTGCATCTTACTCAAAACTAGAGTAACATCTACTTTAACATTAGACAGATTGGAGGACATGAACCAATAAGCCTCTCGGATTGTCTTGCTCAACTTCAGACTGCTTTAGTTGAGGAGCTGGAATCAAATAGGATAATTCAGGGGGCATGTTAGGACAGAGTCAGATTTCCCAGAAGTTGTGCCCAATACACTGAGAAACCGGCATGTGTGGACACAAGCTCAGCGGGCCACATCCCGTTCTTAGCTATTCCTCACTACATGGTGTGGACATTTGTTCTTGGTCTTCTGAAGGAGGTTGTTAAGGGAAGGGCAGATGCCCACAAGGGCTGGAATTCAGTTTTGTATAGAGGGCATGGACTAAATTTTCCTATAGCCTGTCTTGATACTTCCATTCTAGGGCTAGGTCTATACTGGCCATATGGAATAAGTCCTAGAACAATCGACTATACAGTTCAGGCTAAACTTAGAATCTTATGTGTCTGAATGTAAAGATAATTGAAGCCAATTGGGCTTGAATTGTTTGGAAAGCTCATTTTATTTGCTAAATAGTGATCAATCTGAGGGTAGCCCCCCAAAGAACTCTGAGAAATGGTCACTCTGTAAGTGACCATTAAATTGTCAAGGGAAAAATACTCTGGATGTTATTTGACAAATTTGGATTTTATTACCTTGAAACCTATGACCATCTCTCAAGGCTCTCAATAAACGGCCTGGGAAGAAGCTGAATTTCCTCTCTGTGTGAGAGGTCAGAGTAACAAGGTAAATAAGACTGTGGTTCAAACCTAAGGTCCACTACAGGCCAATAGAAATGGGGGTAGAATCTCATTACTTATGTACAGGAAAATTCTGCTGTCAGCCCTACAATCTCACCTTAAACACAATACTCTCAGGTGAACTCTCACTAATCGGCCACCCGGAGGGTTCTCACTCCATTTCTTGGCAGAATTGTAATAACCTAAAGTGTAATGAGGTCTTGGAGTACTAGGGCCACCTTGTTTTATAAAATACTCTGCAAAAGCCTTAGCAGAACACACCTTTATAAACACCTCTGAACAGAATGACAAATGATTTTGGATAAGCAATATGTTTGGAGATAAATATGATTTTTAAAAATGACATTTCTTACTTAAATGTTGTATAGGCTGTCAAGGATAAACAAGTTTGAGATAGGTGTATACTTTGTAACCAGTCTGTATTAAAAAGACAAAAAAAAAAATCAAGATGAATGGTAGCTCCATTCTGTTTGCGGCAAAGTAGACCAAAGTCTGGAAAAATCAGTGGGCCTTCAAACCACAACCCAAAGGACAGTAAGCCCAAATACTTGCCCTCTCCAAACCACACCAGAGGATGGAACTTTCCCTTGGGATTGCTTTTCCCAGACATTCATTTTACTTCCGGAGAGAATCAAATCAATAGAAACACTAAGAATTACACTGAACTCTATTAGGGTCTAAACTGAAAGAAAACAAATAGACTTAATTAATTAGGAAGTGGCTGACATATGCATTCTCTTAGTTAATGAAAATTACAGTGTAGACGTATTTAATAGCAACTATTGATACATATTTGCTTTTACTGATTAGCTGTCTAAACCACTGTTGCTAGCCAGGCAAATTCAAATCCTTCGTGCGGGCGCTTAGGGCCACCCGATTCCAGTCTGACATCTCACTGCTTCCTTCCACACACAGGGGCTACCTCCCCCAGAACCTCCTGGTCCCTCTGCTTCCTTTCAGCTTCCATGCCTTTAAATACTAACAAGGCTGGCCTTTCTGCTGAGAATAGTGCTACTCCCTCATGGCTACTTGTCTAGGTCATGGACTTCACTAACATTCCTATAAAAGACCTGCTCTTCTACTGAGTCCGCTTGAGTCTCCAACTAGACGCCAACTCCTTCTCTGAGTGGCATGGGCACGGTCAGAGGTCCACTCCCAGATTCCAGGCCCAGTGGCAGTAGCAACAGCAGAAGAAAGCAGCTAACATCTTTTACACCTGTGGTGCAAGTGCTCGACCTGTTGTGGCTCAGTTAATCGTCTCAACAGCCTCTTGGCTGGGGGAGGTGCTGGTGTCCCTCTTTTACGGTCCTGAAGACCAAGGCCCAGAGGGCTAAGTCCTTGCCCACGGACATGGAGCTCATAAATGTGAAAGCTAGGATTCAAATACATGTAGTCAGAAATCCTTAGTCCGGGCTGCCCCTGTCTTGAGGGGGAGAATGTGTCCAGTTCATCTTTGCCTGGGCAGTGGCATTAAACTCAGCACTTAGTGCTGGCCCAGAACTCATCTGGATAAACAATGTCTGATTTAGTGTGTCTCTGTGAGATGGTGGATGTCAACTACGCTTGACGTGGTCACTGTTTCACAGTATATGTAAGTCAGTCTTTTGTGCCGTACACTTGAAACTCATACAGTGATGTGTGTCAATTATAGCTTAGTAAAGCTGCAGAAAAAACCCCAAAACAAAACAAACAGGAATGGACACAGTGGGGTAAAGACTAGCTCCTCTTTAGCTCTTGGGCCCCGTGACCCGTGAAGCAGGCCCTCAGCTTTCCTGGGCATCACGGGAGCCCATAATGAAGCAATTTGCTGAGTCCTGGGCCTAGAACGAGTTTTCTTTTCTTTTTTTTCTTAATTTTATGTTATTTTAGAACGAGTTTTCTTTTCTAATGTTTGGTCAGTGATAACACATACTCATGACAAGTCTAGGAGCACACTGCACCTCCAACCTCTCTCCTTGCAGATTTTTTTTTTTTTTTAATTAATACAAAACTCTGGGATAAGCATGCTGCTTTCAGGATTAGCTTTAATTTTTTTTTTTAACATATTCCCCAAAGAAGGTCATTTATTTCTTTTTCTTTTCATTTTTAAATGAAGAAATGTTAAGAATTTAGGAATGCAGACACAGATGAAATTACAATGTCTTTCCAAATGCCAACAAAAATGCTCAGAGTCTGATGAGATTCCCTGTGGCATGAGTTTGTTTAAAGAATCCTGTCAATTCACTTTCTTGTTTTTGTTGGCGGATGGAGGTCTTTTAAGTCACTAACTTGGAGTTCTTCACATCTCATCCTCTAGGTATTGCTGGGCAGGTGTCCATAGATGCCAACGGAGACCGGTATGGGGATTTCTCCGTGATCGCTATGACAGACCCCGAGGCGGGCACCCAGGAGGTGAGCAAATGACACGCTGCCTCGGCTGCTCCTCCTGCTTGTTGAGATTCCAAGGAATGCATTCGTCCCCGTGTCCACATAGCTGTCCCCAACGCAGTCTCCAAATAAAAATGAGCTGAAAGTCTTGGTGTTTCCAAGTAGGGAGGGCTCACTTCTGGTTGAGGATATCCTGGATGATTTCAAGAAATGGTTCCATGTTTACCCTAAGTGGGCAAATGCTATGTTTCCAGTGGCCAAGTGTGCTTCTTTGATGGCTGTTGCCCAGAGTTGATGTTCCCATGGCACTTGATGGGACCTGGCATAAGGGACTTGCTGCTTTTCTCCTAGTGCACATGTATCGGGCCTTTGTGGGAAGAGCAGAGCCAGCAGAACCTGGCACCTGCTACATTTACTGAATGCTTCTTTAACCCTTGGAGTGGTCAGGGTCTTGTGGACATTCTGGTCTCTCCCTCTGTGAAAGGTGGATAGTAATCGTCCATTGTAGGGTGGCTGTGAACATTCAGGAGTGGATGTGTGTAAAGTACTTGGTAAGTGCTCAGCACATGCCAGTGATCGTTAGATTTTGGTGATTATCTAGAATTCTTTTTACTACGACATGAACTAGCCTGTGGAAGCTTGCTGGGCCACTGTCAGGAGAGAGAGGGGCGACGTCACAGGCCGCTCAGGGAGCAATGTGCGGGTGCCCAGCAGAAAGAGAAACAGATCCCGAGAACCTGGGTGGGAAGGTACTTCCAGATCAGGGCTCAGGTAGCTTGTGAAACATCGGTTTGAAACAGAAACTGTGGACAAACCTTGAATTGAGTCAGCAAGGAAGACTGTGCCCGTTGAAAAAGAGAGTTCAGTCTGGAAATGGGGGCACAAATAGGTAAATTCATCAGAGAGGAGAATGTAACTCCTGAAGTCACAGACTAATCTTCCAGCCAGAGAAGGGTGAAAGAGGATGTTCCTAAAAGACACTTTTTGACTCTTTTTTTTTTTTTAAGATTTTTATTTATTTATTTGACAGAGAGAGACACAGCAAGAGAGGGAACACAAGCAGGGGGAGTGGGAGAGGGAGAAGCAGACTCCCCGCTGATCAGGGAGCCCGATGCGGGGCTCGATCCCAGGACCCTGGGACTATGACCTGAGCCGAAGGCAGACGCTTAACCGACTGAGCCACCCAGTGCCCCCTTTTTGATTCTTTATATGCCCAGCTGATTGAGTGGTATGAGGCTGTGTACCTGTAATGGTTTAATCTGGCTATGAGGTGGGCCCCGACTCTCTCCCAAATCCCTGAAAGCAATCTGGGCTTTACAAATGGCTGACTGTGTGGGCTGCTCGGTAGCGGATGGCAGATGTGTGGAGCAGCACCTCCTCTGATGAGCAAGGGAAAAGCCATAACTTCTGAGATTGTTGTTTTCTGTATAACCACTTTCCTGCCATAGGGAGCCACAGTTCTCCCTAAATTATGCTTACCTTAAAAGCACCATTAGTGACTGCAAATCTTGATTTACAAAGTCCTCAAAAAGACATCATTATAGTCAGAGTGACGGGGCGCCCACCCTACGCTTCTTTGGAAACAGAGAACTTTGAGCTTTCAGTTTGCACATTTGTTTTTTGCTTTTACATAGGTCATTGGTGATTACTTTGGAAAAGAAGGTCGTTTTGAAATGCGGCCAAATGTCAAATATCCTTGGGGACCTTTAAAACTGAGAATAGATGAGACCAGAATTGTGGAGCATGCAAACAGTTCTCCTTGCAAATCATGTAAGTTTAGAGACTTAATTTGTTCTGCTTTTCACAGTCTGCTCTATCACCACGATGCAAGTTTAAAAGACAGATTCTATCCAGAAACTCATGTTCTGAAAGTCCACCTTGCTTTTTCTGATGTGGTAAAACCCATGGGAACAGTTCACAAACTGGCATCCCACTTTCGTCAGATGTTTCTGGGTCTTTCTTCTTTTTTTCAAAAAGGTAGAAGGCCTCTCCCTATTATTACCCCTCTTACCATAATACAATCTCTTCACATTTGAGATGTCCACTTAGGGAAAAGAAAAAGAGCCCATATTAAATGTGTAGCAAGTCTCATTCTGATTTTCAGAGTTTGTAGGTGTCCTCCTATCCCTCAGAACCAAACAGATAATGTCCCTTAAACACCCTCAGATTTACAAACTGGCAAATCAGTGTAAAATATGCCTTTTATGAGTGTTTTGTTTGGATATCAAACAAACATAAACATAGAAGCAAGTGGACATTCTTACAAGGAGCCTACAAATAGGAAATTGTTGGAAATCCTTGCTTTAGAGATAAGCTAGTGAGGGAGAACCAAGTGAATATCGATCTTTCAGGCCAGTTAGTCACTTTAGGCTAACATATGTATGCTCCTTACTTTGGGACCAGCCTTCAAACGGTGTTATTTATGTATATGCGATAATTATGGGAGGGAGTAAAGCAGACATATGTTAAAAAAAGTCTCTGGAGTTCCGGGCGTGGATTTGAAATCCCACCCTTGTCACTTAGTGGTTTTGTGATCCTAGGAATGTTCCTTTACCTCTTTAAACCTCAGTTTCCCCATATGTAAAATGAAAAATGTGTACCCAATCCTTCGGGCTGAGGATTAAATGGGATAATGCATTAAAGGCTGTTTAATATACACTGTTTATATAAAGGCTATTTATCATATTTATGTAATAACTGGGACGCTACTGAACTCGATTGTTTCAAATTGATATTCACATTTTCACAAAGCTATATAGGACATTTTCACATGAAACTCCAGCTTTGGTGAGAGAACATCTAAAAACAGAACATTAGCCCAAATCATTTTTCACCAAATCTCCTAGCACTTTGAAGTGTCATCATCTGTCTGTGCAAATAAGATGTGCTGGGCCAGTCCCACGGTCTGTCCAGTTGTCTTCTCTGACTAGGAGCTCAAGAGAGAATGGATGTGCCTGAAAACCTCCGTTTCCAGCATTCCTCAGATCTTTCTTGAACCTGCTTTATTCCCATTGTTTTCCTATGGTTCTTTCTTAAATGCTTCTTACGCTTTGTACTTGGCAAAAAAAAAAAAAGGAAACTGCAGGATCCCCTAGAAAAACTTTCTTAAAAAAAAAAAGAAAATTTGCCACAAGTGGGAAATTGAGATATACCTTCCAGTGACTAAAACTTGAGACATTTCTGTTTCTCCAAATGAACTCTGATGATCTATGTTTCTTTTTTAAGCAGGTGGTCTAGAAGAATCAGCAGTGACAGGAATTGTTGTGGGAGCCTTACTAGGAGCTGGCTTGTTAATGGCCTTCTACTTTTTCAGGTTAGGATGCTTTATCAAGTTTTAGAACTCACTGCCCTCTATTGCCTTGGTCACTCACCTTTGCATAGTCCTCCTTGTGACTTGTCCATATCTTGCTCTTACCCTGAAAACATGGCGGTTAAAAGAACGAAGCCGTTCTTTTTGACGGTCTTCATGACCCTGCTGGTTTGGTGGTCAGTGGGTTAGCACACTGGGCAGTGGGCCAGGACTTTCTACTGCATCCCCCTGTGGGCCACAGAGCCCTGCCCTCCTTTGATCACAAATATTCTGATGTAAATTCCTACCAAATGTGTAAGTGGAGAGGGAATCTGGACAAAGGAGAAACAACTTACCTATTCTTATGCTTCCTCCGATCCAGAAATAAGTGTCTGGGTTCATCTTCTGAAGAGGGGGAGGTGGTTCTGAGCAGGCCACGCTCTCAGGCTGGTCTGTGCTCAGTACTTGGAGAATCCATACATTTAATTGCCACTGTGGTTAAGCCCCCAAACTTGTAAAATTGTAATATTTATGTGTGTTCAAGGTATTGATAGTCGTAAATCATGAGGGCGGTCCATTCCTCTGTAATCTTTGGTGACTGAGTTTGTGGCTTAGTCTCAAGTCATTGGACCAAGATTTCTTCATTTCTGTATGGAAATGTAACCCCGGGTGTATGTGAGTCTTTGTGGGAACAATTGTATTCCTGTTCCTTTGGTCACAGTACACTTAATCTGATCTTTATCTAGGGCATATCCTGGGAGTTAGGGAGAGCTTCTGTGGGCAGAATAGACAAGACTTAACCCACAAGGCACCCAGGGAAAAAGGGGAGGGCTTGTTCTATGGCATTTCAGAAGGCATGCCAATTTTCCTCCTTGAATAAGGGCATAACGCCTTGGGGCACACTGCTTTAATCTCTGACCAGGGTTTCATATTCTGTCACTTCTCATTTATCAGCCCAAACCCAGATGTCCCTTGAGGGCATTCTTTGTAAGAGAAACCATAGTATTTTGTAGCCAAGTGAGATCTTCTTACTACATTCACTTTCCCTTTACCCAGGAAGAAATACAGAATAACCATTGAAAGGCGAAGCCAGCAAGAAGAAAGTAACGTTGGAAAACATCGAGAGTTACGGGAAGATTCCATCAGATCCCATTTTTCAGTGGCTTAAAAGAAAGCCTTTTCTTTTGGCCTGAGATTCTTTAAGGAGATAGATGGGATGAAAGACATCAATGGAAGAGAAGGGGCGCTCTTGAAGACCTCATTCTTTTAAGCAGTTAGTCATTTCATTGTAAAATTTCTTTAGAAGCTCAGGAACTATTATTAATCACCATATGCCTCCTGGCCTTTCACCCGATTACAAACAAATATGAGAATACAACATCACTCTGTTAAATGTTCATACTGTTTCCAGGGCATATGATTAGATTTATGTTTGAAAATCTGATGTCTCCATATCTTGATGGTTTTTGGGGGCATTTCATATAAGGCTACAAAAATGTGGTTTTCTTAAATGAAATGTTTTATAGCTAGAATAAGATCATTTTTATGAGTAGAATATTCTTGGAAAGAATATAACATCCAAAAAGAGGAAAATGTAATGAAAAATCCCAAGGTTGGAAATACAGTGTTCCTTTTTCTAGTGCTGGTGGACAGATTAGAAGTTGAGGACTGCTCTGTAGAATGTATATATATTCAGGACCTGACTTCATATCTCGAAAAAGGATTTCCTGCTTGTCTCCTTCAGTGTCTCATAAAAGCTATTCTGGAAAGTTGTAACTATTATTAAGATAAGAGGATTTATATAAGAAAAGCAAATCTAAAATGTTTCACTTTTTAATGTAAAAAAAAGCCCTATTTCACACTAACATTTTATTTTTAGGTATTTTAATCTTATATTTTGCTATTAGAAAATGTGTCTATTTTTTCATTTTGAAGATTAAATTCCACTTATATTTTAAAAGCATGGGTAAAGTGTACAACAAACCAGCAAAGATGAAAGATGCTTCTCTTATTCTCCCTTTTTCCCTATATCCCCCTTGGCCAAAGCCAAATGCCAATTGCTACTTTAATTACAGAGATCTAGAAATGTATTCAGATCACAGACTTTACAGGAGGACATCGATTTACCTGCTTTAAATGCAAAGTTATTTTAGAATAGACCTCTTCCAGTTCTGGTCAAATGATGAGTTTCAAGATAAAGAGTGGAACTGATTAGAATTAACTAGGGTTTAAGGCAGCCCTTTTTCCTTAAGAACAACTTATAGAGTATTAGAATTTGACAGTAAGCACAGAAATGATAAATTTAAAAATGCATACATGACATTTTACTAAGATTCAGTGATATTTTGGTTAAAAGAAGGAATCTAATAGCTACCATATTCCTTTTTAGTTGACTCCACAAAGCTTTATAGTCATCCACTAATAACCCGTGTAATAGCGGGTGAGGTGTAGATATAAGAGATTTGAACAAAGTTAAATAAATATTTACTGAATATCTACTTTGCACCCAGTACTCTGCACATAGGTGTAAACTCAGGTTGCCATTTTTGCTGATAATTTATGGAGAAAATAGTGAGAGAAGAATAGGGAGTTGGCAGATTAGCATACCATGTTGTAATTATGTCACTAGGGGCTTTCCTCAGTAACATTTTGAACATCTGGAAAATAGTTTTTAAAATTATCTTAGTGACTATAAAAGATCATGCATAGGGAGGAAAATAGGGGAGTTTGAGCAACTCCTTGGTAATGATGGAGGTCATAGCTCACACAGGCGGGAGTGGAGGCAGGCAGAGGGAAAAAAGCTGCATATCTTGGAAGCTGGCCTGAACTTGTTTCCCTGGAGGAGTCTGCCTCTGTCCCTCCTACTTCAACCAGCCAATGGATTATTTCAGTGAATGGATTATTTCTGTGTGAGGCATATTGCCCTTCTACATTTAAAAGATGGGATTCAGGCAGTTGGAGAGCATGTTAACCGAATGAGCTATGATCAACTGAAATGACTCTGTTGTAGTTCTCCATGGTGGATGCAAAGGAAAAAATGCTGACTCAAAAAAAGATGGCAAAAGAAGACAAGAAGGCAAGGTCCAGAAATTCCAATGTCAGAAGAGAGTTTGGGAAGTAAAATCTAGGAAAGCAAAACATTTAACAACTCAGGACTCCTCAAAGTGAAAACAGAATGGAAGGTTTGCATCCATCTTTTTCTTGTGAATTGAAAGCTTATTTCTCTCTCATTTTTATTTTTCATGATATTTTCAATGTATTTTAGAGATATTCATTTTATACTACCTTGTGTTTGTGAAAAAAATTTAAATTTCAAGCCTATGTGCTTATTAGAGGGGGGAAATCACTCTGCCTGGTTGCAGTCTTTGGACATGAACATTTCTAACCTTTCTGGAAGTAATATAGGGGCTGTAACTGTAACATTAACTGTAACATTTTTAAAGCAAATATCTTTTATTTCTCCTTCACATAGAGGAATAGTTCTAAATTTATATATTATGTCCCCAGACAAAATGGTAGAAGTGAGATTTTAGTTTTTTTTAAAATGGCGGAACAAGTCATGAGGTTTCTCATAGGTACATGCCATTCGGTTCCAAAGTTAACCGTTCTGGGAGTTCCTAAGACTGAGTGCTTATTTACATGTCTGTTTTCACTTCTTTCCTCCTTGAAGTCATCATATGAGTTACCAAAACTCCATTAAGTTTTGAAAACTCCATTAAGTTGGAAAACTTTGCTACAAGTGTAGGTGTTTGGTGCAAGCGTATTCTGGGTTAAGACCTCTAGAGATTATAATTTGGGACTTAATTTCCTTACTGCTAAGCAGCATCTTTGACAACTAGTCATTCATACTCTACCAGAAGCCACATATCATACAGTAAAATAAATAGGGCTTTAGTTCTTAAATCACTCTATAAATTTTTACCCTGAAATCTAGGGCATTCAGATTTCAGAAGGGAAACTTTATCAGTATTTTTTCATCTGGCCAAAGAAGCTGATATTTATATAGGTCAAAATGAGTATATATTTCTTGTATATACTCACGGTGTTGGAAGTAAGTATAGGTTTTATGGTCATCATTGTCACCTTCTTAGATTTTTTTTTTCTGGATTCAAAAATAAAAGCTTTCTCCAGATGATCACTTCTATCCAGGAATAATTTTCTGTATAGAGTGCATATCTTCCCCCCGACTGACTACAGTATCCACGAGGAAGCCCCTACAACATTACATTTCTCAGAACTGTCAGCTTGTCCTTTCCTGAACCACAGACGTAGTTTCACAGGCTTTGAGATAGTTATTATTATTATTTTTTTTTAAATTTCAGAAGCTATATTTAATGGAGGGAGAAGAGAAATGTATGGAAAGAGAATGTCTCCTTTTCTCCTCTTCCTTGAAATTCAGACTTTTGCTTTAAAATTTCCCATCACTTCTCCCTGTTCACAGGTTCTAGGGTTCTTAACTTATTCAAGGTACCTGTGCCCCCTTTGTCCCTAATTTACCACTTTCCTTCTGGTTGCTACTGATTTTGGGAGTGTAAGCTATGCTGTTGGCAGTGAAATTAAAGCTACTGTATAGAACTCATACAGACAGTGACAATTCAGAAATTAGCTTCCCATGGCATCATCACCTTCTTGTGAGTGAGTATACAGAGCTATTTGTGGAAGTCTCTTTAAGAGGCCAAATAAAATATTATACCACCAGTATAAGGGAATGTTTGTAAACTGAAAGGAATGCATACTTATGTTTCTTGGGACACAAAGAACCCAGATCCTCAGTGGGTACAGTATAAAACCAAACACTAACACAAATTAGGCCCCTCGATCTATATTTCAGGGGTTCTGTGTAGTTATGCCCCTGGTGGTTAGCGCTTCCTGGAGAAGATGAAAATGGGCTGAATTTCTTCTTCAGTGGAAAAAACTGAAACTGTCTGAAAACACAGAATATGTTTTGGGGGCAGTGTGGAAGCATAGAAGATGAGAAGGTGCTGTTCAGAGGGATTTGTTTCTTTTTCAGTTGATCTTTAGAACTACAGAATACCCAATAATTTAGCCCATCTTCAACAGCCAGACTCAGCAAGAAGCTTGGGACACATCCAGCCAGAAGAATCAGGAGCTTGATCCTCCAAAACAAACAGAAGAGAGTGGCACTGCAAGTAGCCCCTGTCCTTACCACTCCTTTCTCACTCACAACCCCTGCCATCATCCATCTCCCTCAACACCCCCCACCCCCGCACCATCCACTGAGGCTCCAAAGATGAGTTGGCATCTTGCCCAGGCAGGTAGAAACTTGTGAGTAGGACTTCTGTACTTCCTCAGAGGGAAAAAAGACAAAATAGTGCTGCCTATAAGAATGTAGCTGGCTTTGGATCAGAACCCACACACGCTCTGGGGCTGGACAAGCCTGTGATGTGCCTATATTCCAACAAGCCTCGCTTTGGTTTTCAGCATGTAGATCTCACGAATGTCTCTTGAAGGCATACCCCACAGCTAGACCCTAGGATTAAAATGACTTTCAAAAGGGGCTAGATTGAAGTTTGTTCAAATTTTTCATTAACCACTAATGTTAATTCATACCAAAGGTAAGGCAATTCTAAACCAGCTGATGCTGTTAATGCTCCTGTTTTAAGCTACGTCGAACATGGTGAAAGGGTTTCAATGGGAGCCGAGGGTCAGAAGTAAAAATGCATGTGTTATAATAGCTCTTTGATGTATCAGGTGTGGAATGTTTCCTAGGGGAGACATTTGAACAAGCAAAATTAAGAGTTAGCAAAAATGGTGTTACTTTGATTCACATGTTTAAAGACCTAAATTTTATGCACAGGAATAAAGGGCCCTTCCACCAAGGGTGTAAATCGTCACATGGACTACCAAATTGTTTTTTATTTGCTAGGGGAACAAAGCTGTGATAGCACACAATAATTGGGCAGAAAATTTCGAGAAAGAGGAAAATTTGGATTCTATACAGGATGCCCTATTTATTATTTAATGCCAACATCTGAAAGAGTTCAAAGTGGTACGTCTTACTTGCAAGACAGCAATGGGGTGCCCTCAACAGCCTGGAGATGTTGTGAGTTTGCAGACTCTTTTTGCTGGGTCCTGGGAATCTGAGCTTTGTTCCTCATGCATGGTGAATAGTTGAAACCAAGAGGACATGGAATAGATACCGTGGAGGATTATTTCTGCAGCCCTTGTCTTCTGGGCCATATTACTCATTGTTATTCTAAATATAGGACTACCAAACAATACAATTCTACCATGAGTATGGTAGAAAAATAAAATAAAAGCTGCACAAGCTACAATTTATTATTTTAATGTAAGTAGAACTATCTGCATATAATGTGATTTAATTTATTGTTTTGTGTAGAAAATGAAAATTAATGACTGTGGATATAACCCCTGTTTTGTATAATATATTTTATTTCTGGTGCAAACTGGTCGTTTAAAGTATCTACTTCATTTGGTGTTTGGATAGAAATGTGTATGTGTTCTTGTAAATGTTTCTCTTAAGCAAGAATGCCACATGCTCGCAGTATAACAATGTGTTCTCATTAAAAATACATCCCACGGAAACCTTTTCCTGTTTATAATTCAGCCAACATACACTGCACATATCCATATTCTCTGAGGACTTTCTGTTTTCCTAGGGCGAGTTTAAGTAAAGATCAGTTAGTGGTTGTGATGAATTGTACTGCTTGAATGGTACCCATGAAAGAACACAAGAATTTTTGCCCAGCAAAGGGAAGTTTATAGAAATAAGAAAACAATATATTATAATGAGTGGTAAACCTTGAATTGGCAGGTAAGGAAAGAACTCTTCAGGAACACCGTTACTTTGCATCTCTACATGGTT